TCAAATATTTTGCAATGATGGAAAGACAGCTTAATTATCTAGCACACAAAAAAAGACGGTCATTGTTTTCCGTTTTACCTGAAAGCTAATGGATCTTGGAATACCAGACGTGGATGTTCAAAATCCCCTCTGGAGCCTTTCTGGTGATTTGTCGTCTCTTGGTTGCCTTTGGCGCACACCGGTCTCTGCCGAGGTAATATGTGAGCTATTTCACACTAAAAGCAGATTTTTTTGAGAGAGGCAGTGCACACACACACACACACACATGCATACACACAGCCCTCCACCCCCTTGTCCTGCACTGTGCCAGCAGGTCCTGCCCCAAAGTGCAGCGACCCAAGGAGGAACTTCTTGTCCCACCGGTTTTAGAGAAGAAAAGGGTGGGAATCGGGCACGGCCCTGTGGAGCACACAGCCTGCAGAGCTCCAAATTGTGCTGTCTGTCACTTCATCCCAGGTTTGGGACAGATCTGCGGGTGCTGCTGTTCCCCATGCAGTGCTGAGACAGAGCTGGTGGGACGGACACATGGATGCTTCTCCCTGTGTGCAACGATCCTGATGTGCCATGGGTCACTCACCCAGAAGACCCTTTGCCAGCTTCTGGGCCTCCACATTGAACTGCCTGCTTGGGCCAGAAAGAGATGTTTATGGGAGATGGAGTTTCTGCCAGCATTAAAAAAATTGTACATTAAATTCTCTCATTTTGATCTAAAGAAATAAAGATCTATCTCTAGGATTTTTTTCTTAAGTATGTTTGCAACACTGGCATACATACTACACTAGAACCTCTTCCTTTTGGGCAGGCACACAGGCTCCATCCCCATGCTCCATCACATCTACCATCAAGACCAGCTAGCTAGGGACCCTCGTGCACAGTGCTTCTGCCTCTTCATCTTCTTCCTCTGCCATTCACGTAAGAACACCATTCTACCTTAAGAGAAATCCTAGTTCTGGGCCAAAGAAAACTCTTTTCCTATTTAAGGATCTTCCTTTCACGGTAAGGATCTTCCAAATTTCCCAAAAGTGGATAACAACAATACCACTGTGATCCCATCTGTACACAGCAATGGCACTGTAATGCACAGAGCATAAAACACCAAATTCCCACAGACAGCATCTGTCTTACTACAAACAATGGACCATTATCTTGTAAATAATTCTGATTAAGCTGCAGCATTTTCCCCAAACAAACAGTAGGGGAGCAGAGGGTGAGGATTTTTCTGATGGGAGTGCCGGTTTTCTCCTTCCCCAGCACTAACACTCCGTTTTTTATTCAACTGATTGGGCCCCTCCCCTGCCCGCTCTGTCCCCCATGGCTGGGTTTTCATGTTTTGACCTTATCCAGCTGCCAGTCATCTTGGCAACTAAAGAGGGAGCCGTCATGTCAACGGGATTGCCACCTCTATCCTGCAGGACAGCTTTTCTGTTTTGTTTCTTTTCTCTTTTTCACCACCATGTACAGTTACACTTCTTGATACACCCATAAACCCTGCAGTTATTGAACTGTCCCCATGAAAGAGGATGGGAAGATCAGACTCCCAATGCTGTTGGCTAGAACAGTGTCAGCCAGCACCTGGCATGGCTACAGCTGCCAGCTGAAGGCACAGGGCTGTGCTGGCAGTCGTTGGCTTCCCCCAGCCGGAGCTGCCCCTTGCAGCATGTGGCAATGAGCAGAGCAGAGAGGAGCGGGGCTGGCCCTCATGCCACTGAGCCAGCTAGAAACCTACCATGGAGGTCTTAAAAGGATGTAAAACCAAAGCCAGTGCATTGGCTGGAGGAGGGCTGGCTGTACAAAGGGATGAGTAAAATGAGACACAATTGGTGCTAATGTGTCTTATAACAAACCTTTCTCACAAGGTTCACAAACTCATCTACATGGCCCTAGAGAAAGCCTGGATTTGGTCTTTAACTTGTTCATTTCAATGCATAAAGCTTTCTTATATGTCTCTCTTGATAAATGTCACATCTCTACATGGCTAAGGTGTTGGTCTTCCTTCCCTGAATCCCTTTTACGCTTCCCATTATACACAGGAACTGGTCTGGACCAAATGCACTTCCTGACTTAAAAAAAACAACAACAAAAACCAACACAACAAAACAAACAGCATAGCCTAATTTAGGATGGTAATGCTGGAAAACAAGCAGTAAGAATTTGAACTGAGAAGTATTGATTTGGTGTCACTGCCATTCAGAGAAAACCTTACAACAGGCACTTCCAGTTCTCAGATCCATGAGCACGACTACATGCCCCAGCATCTGCGAAGGCCACAGCACAGCCAGGTAACCGTAACTGAGGGTAACTCTGGCAATGACACAGGGGGGACAGAAAGTAGCAAACAGTGTAACAGGCCCCCAGACCCGAGCAGGACCTGCAGAGGACAGTGATATCCACATCCAAAGCATAATTTTTATGTGTGTTCATTTTCATAATTTTTTTTATAACTTACTGTAGTATCAGGGAAGGAAGCATTTACAAACTGAGGACATATATAAATGTTCTTCATCTCCAAAGTGCTTTGGAAGCATTAATTAATTCATTTATCCTCACAGCACTCCCATCAGGGAGACAAGTACTATGATTTTCCATTTCACAATGGAGAATCCAAAGAGGAAAACTTATTTTTTCCCATTGTCGGAGGGTGAATCACAGGTAGACTGGCAGCAGCAGTGAGGACTGCCAGATTGTGTGTGAGCTCCCCTCCTTAAACCTTACTTAAAAGACTCGCGTCCCACCACTAATGGCACATGTTGGGATATGCCTTGGGTTTTTCCCTCTGTAAGAGATAATTAAGGCACAATTCCCTCTCTGAACTGCTGAACAATGGCCGTTCTATGCAGGCAACAGAAACCCCACACTGGAGATTGGCTGAAAGAAACACAGACATTACAGCAGAGCCAGTGCAGGAGCAGCCCCATTTCTTCCAGTTTTAAGAGGAAATGCTCCAGGAAGATGCATCTGCTATTTTAGGTCACTCTCATCCAGAATACATATCTAGAAATTTCAAGTATTCAGAAAACTGCTGTGACCTCTGATATCTGTTCTCAAACCTAAGAGTGTTCCCATGACGTTTGTGCTGGAGGGATGCTCCTCATCCACCCATGCTGTTGCTGTAACCAAACCTCTTTCCGCTTTGCCAGCAAATGCATGGCTGCTTCAAATGGCAACACAAGCTCCAGTTAGCCTGAAAGGGTCCATTTTAAGGCCTGTCTATGAAATAAAATAGCAGTAGGAGTCTTGTAGGAAATTGTTCAGATCAGAGACGTAAATCAGCATCGAGGGACAACAAAATGGAAAATAAATCCTAACTCTACATTTCCCAGGAATAACTTTCACCTACTGAAATCCTCATCAGTGAAAACCTGGCCTGCCCTGGACTTCTTTGCTCTTTAGTTTGTATTTTGACAATAATAAAAATGCCCAGAAATCAAAACTTTTCAGGCATTTTCCTGGCTTGTAAAAGACACATTCATTAGCAAAATAGAGTGCCAAGCTAAACCATGGCATATTGCAGAATGCATGACTACATCCTACAGGGGGGAGGCCGGTACCTAGATGTTGCTTTGGAACAACCAGAACAATTGTTTAGTGAGAAATGTTTTTTGCATATGACTCATCAACCCTTGAAAACAGGATTTCTTATATAATGCAAGTGCTGACACAGCCTTCACTTGAATGGTGTGACTGCAGCTGTATAATTACAACTTCAGATTAGATGTTATGGACCTTAGGTTATGCCATGCAGACAAATGCTCCATTGTATCAGAGAGATGTTTTTTCCTTAGTCATATTGCCCACAGGACAATAGGGACTACATTCACAGCTCAGTGTGTAGAAGTTTTGGCATGTAACAGCCAGCGGTACTACACAAGATGAGATTATACCCTATGGGGGTTAAATGGATTCATAACTGCCACTTTTTCATGTCTTTTTTTCTTTGCTCCCAGCTGATACTTTTTTGGGAGTGCTCTCCAAATAAAAGGAAGAACAATCTCACACTGAGTCTGGATAAATGTTACAGTTGTCTCACAAATGCTGTATTATTTCTAGCCCTTCCAAAATAATATAATTGTCCTACTGCTGAACTACAGATTTTTCTCAGTATGACACAGAACGCTAAAATGTCAGGTCCTGACTCATGGTGTTTCGGTGGAATAAATAAAAAGTACCAATATGCTATTCAAAACTGACAGTATTAATGAAGATGTGACACTGGGAACCCCAGTCCCCCTTTAACTTCCATTGCCTACTGACTGGTGCAGCGAACAATAGGCCACCTCTTATGGGTCCCATCCTGGAGACACTTACCAGAGGCCTGAGCGACATTACTGGCACCAACGCGACTGGCTGCTTGTTATCCTATGCTCCCTTTACCTTGGGAGCGCTGTGCGTGAAGGAGAGAAGTGAGGCAAGTCTCAGGACGTTTACCACACATTCCTTCCACGGGAAATGAAAAGCAGAGTTAAGCACCGTGGGCAGTACTGTAGACTGTAACAATGTAAGACCGGACGAGATGAACTGAGAAAGGCGTCAGGCGGGCCGTGCACTCACAGATGGGCAGCGCCTGTCCCTCACTGGGCTTGGCTCCCAGCTGCAGGACTGGGCCCGCACACGGCAGCTCACCCTGGCCAGCCAGGCACCAGGACTTACACACCCATCAGCATCACTCATTTTTAACCCACAGGCCCCCATGGAAACGCTCACTGGATTGCACCAGCGAGAGAGGGGGCACAGCTCCCACACTGCCAAGGAATTTTCTGTGCCGAAGGAAACAAACCTAGCCTGCCTAACCACGCATCGCGTTCTTCTGATGGCAAACCACGTTTAAGAGACTGCGCTTTGAATGAATACGCTTCAAAAAGGCCAGCGAGCTGCCTTGTAGGCTTTGCCTCTCACAGCATGAGCCAACCGTGGATTGCACGAGTGGTCCTCGGTCTACCGAAAGATAAAACAGTTGCGCAGAGTTGTCTTGAATGAATTAACAAAATGACTCAAAACTGCACTAATGGTTAACAGCTTTTTTTTTATTAGCAACACTGAGATAAGTTATTGAAGCATTTTAGTATTGTTTTACATTCCATTCAGAAGTGACCTAACTTGTAACTCCATATACATTTAAAGATATAGTTTGACACTTATTCAGAAAGCAACAATTATTAAAACTTACATACCTTCATTACCAGGAAACCTTAATATATTTTCTAATTACTTCCAACAATACTCTATTCCAAAGCACATGATAACCCACTAGAAGTTTACACATTTCACTTCAGTCACAGGTTTTAAATTGTGGATGTCAGAGTGCTGTTCATTGAATTTTACTGTCTTTCTTGGTTAATATTGGAAAACCTGGCACAATATATTAAGCTAGAAATATTGCTTAAAGAATATGAAAAAAGATAACTACAGTATTTTTTCCTGCTAAAGCATTACAAAATACAGGACCATTAAAAACTCAAATAGAAATGACAATAAATAACCTTAAAAATGTTAAGAGAATTTTCACTCATACTAAAGTCCATTCCCTAAGCTTGCCAAACACATAAATAACAGAACATATTCAGGACCTCTATTTTTGTACTATTATGATGGTTTGTTATATATTGTGGATGCTTTGTGTATACATATATTAATGCTTACACTTAAGGTATATATTTTTCTTTGCTGAAACAATTAATAAGCCTCAGGTAATTATTCATCCCGGCACTACAAGTATCTAGATACGAGGGACAAAACCCCAGAAATCCCAGATATGCAACACTATGCATAGCAAGATCATCTCAGCATAAAGATATTCTAAGTTCTTTAGATTACAAAGATGAATTTGGTTATTTATTTCTGAAAGCCTGTAAAATAAAACTATAATTGCTGTCAAATTAATTGTTTAAAATTGGCCTCGTAATAGGTATTAATCGTACACTTAGTTTTGACTTAAAAGGATGCCTAAATTGCTCAGGTGTATGTGTATGTGTAGATGTAGGAAATACTACACCTCAGGCACAAGCATATATATTCCTGAACCGAAACACAAACCAGAGCATTGTCTCACTTTGCAAAGATCTGGAAACATCTCTATGCCTCTGCCTAATCCTAAATTATAATTTAAATTTGACCTGGATATGACAAAAACAATAAGAATATATTGTTTGGGAGATGAAACTTAGAGCAAAATCATACGGCTCTAGGCTTACATCATTATTTTGTCCCTGCAAAGAAAAGAAAAGCCTTTCTGTGCTGGGGATTTGCCCTGGTGCGGCTGGCCACTGATGTCTGAAATCGAGGCACATTCCGAGGCCTTCTTTTGCAAACACAATCCCCCTTTCAGATCTGGTGCTGGGAGGGACTGAATGCCTCCACTTTCACTGGGAATAGAAGGAACTCAGAACTAAGCTGTATCAGATATTTTAGGGGTTAACTTCCAGAAACATTAACGGAATGGGAGTGTTACACTGCAATATATGAAAAACTCTAAGAAATAAGTTTCCAACAGTGAACAAAAACAGTGACATCAAACTTATCGCTGGACCAATGTCTGATACAAAAAAAATACAATGAAATTAAATTACATGAAAATAGCAATAAAATTTAAAGTCAAATAAACACAGGACCTGATTCTGCAATCCTTAGTCATGTAAGTAGTCCCACTCATCGAGAATGAGGGATGCAAGACTGGGTCCTTAGCTTCTGCTTAGGAAGTCAATGTTGATTCAGACAGTATCTTTTCTAGCCAAAAATATGCAGCAAAAGGAAAGTAACATAAACAAGGCTAAATGTCAACAGTGTTTGCAGACTTACAGACACCATCCATTTGTTTGTACTGAAATGACTAGCGAACCATTTGGCAAATACAATGCTATTCACAGACCGGCCCTTTTATCCAGCAACACAAACTTCACTGGATCACTGGCATTCCCAGTTAATTAAAAAAAGGAAGCAAGCCATATGAGTTTGGTTTGATATTGCCACGCAAATGGCACTGCGACTTCCAGAAGTGGCTGCAGCCCGGCACGAGGGCAGGCACTGATCCCTGAGCACTGTGGCTCAAACCGAGAGCAGGCCCTGTGCTGCGACTGAAGCAGCCTCCTCAGGCACCACACTGGGTACAGAAAAGACCGCAGCAAAGGTTCCACGGTATTTCCTTCTGCCTTGAAGGAGAATATTCTGGTTACCCCTTCAAAGGCAGAAATGCTGGGTTATTTAACTCACTGCATTAGGGCATACTTTGAACGGTTCTGAGCACTGCGCTTTGCTGCAGCCCTGAGGACCTTCCCTGACCACAGAGCTGTCCTACAGCTCAGATATATAGGACTGTTGCTTCTGTTTAATGTGCATTTTATAATTTTAAAGAGCTGCAATAAGGTGAAGGCACACAAACAATTAAAAATCTTTCTCTGCACGTTACGTGTTGTGGTAGTTCTGAAGGGGTTAGCATTACAATCCTTTTGGTTTTGACACCTGTGGCAAGAAGCAATTTACAAAGACTAAATTCACTATTTCAACATTGGGGTACAGCACTATAATTATGTGACAATAAAACTGTAATAATCTGCCACAGTCAATCTTCCCCTTGCCCAGCCCTCTTGTCTGTGCTACAGTTCCACATTTGGAAGGTATTTCAGAAAGTTACAATGCTGAACAATTTAATAATTCTGTGCAGAGCTGAACACTTTCTGCTCAAAAGGAAACTGAAAGTGCTCAGCCCTTCGCGAGAGAACTTGAGAGCTGCTGCCGTGCACTAGAAGGGCCCTGCCCTATTTTCATACAGTGAAAGAAGTGAGGGAGGTGGAGCCTATGTGGAGAAAACAGCACTAATTGCAGAGGAAAGCAAGCATGAATGGAAGCAAATTAGATTTAGAGGGACAAGATGGAACTAATACTTTTGGTCATCATTAAGTGTGGGTTCAATAGCACTAATCCATTAAACAACCAGCTAATGCCCCAGACCATCTCTGGCCAATAGTTCTGTAGTCCACCAGCAATTCTTTGAAAGCCTAGATACATCTCAAGCAAAAAATGCTAGGGATATTTTACCGTCTTAGCCACAAAGCAGGAAGACTGAAAGGGAAGGAGAGACAAGAAAGAGTTTTGTCATGAACAGATGCTCTACAAATCATATAAATTTGCAACTTAGACCAGTAGCTGGAACATTACTGCAATACAGCTATGTGTATAACGGAAGCCAGGCAGAGAAACAGAAGAGCAGAAATGGAAAGCATCTTCTAAATCTTAAATAGAAAGTAGATCTACAAACTCCAAGCATTACTTCTCAAATGAGCAAGAGCTGTGAAAGCAGACTACGTGGATGCTCAAGACAGCTGCCAAAGCCAGAAGCCCAGCATGACAGCTCCTTCCCTGACCTGGGCTGCTGGCTGCAAGCAGCAGTGAAAGGCACATCCCTGTTCTTACAGGCTGCATGGTAGCAAAGATTGACAAGATCAGCTCTTGGGTTTAGCCACTTAAGACTCTGGAAACAAATACAGTTAAGTTAGAAAAGGTGAGGAGACTTAAAAATTCATCAATTATACTTTTTATTTTCCTTTTGTTCTTTCCTATTCTGCTAGATGTGTAAAGGAGATTTGTTGTGATTTTTCTCAGCACTATTTTGGCATGGAAATTTCTCTATTACAAAGTGATGCTAGTTCTTTCTTTTCTAATTGTGCCTTTCACCCCTACAGCCTAAAGCATGACAGGAGCAGAAACAAATTACAGGCACATCACCAGACTCTCTTGCTCTATATACAGGGAAACTGAGGGTTGCTTCCCCATGAGGGATGACTACTCAGAACAATAATGTGTATTGGCGGAATTGCCCTCTAGAAATTAAACCAAGATTTGTGCTTAAAAATGGACCCATTCTCTTAAAGGTAAAATCTGCCAACTAAAAACAATCTACACAGATCACTGAAAATCCCAGCTTGTTGTAATGAAGCCAGAAATTTGGTGCAATTAACATGGCCAAACAAAGATGCAATCTCAGCCGACTGAGAATCTTATTTCAACTGTGCTCTGACTGTGGAAAGGGCACCAGAGATTGTGCAAGGAATGTTATCAAGGGTATCAGTGCTCTCTCCTGAGATGCCAACACCCACCCACCATCGGCTGTAAAAAGAAAGGCAAATACATGGAGTCCCCCAAAACACAAACAGCCACAAGAATCATGCCCAGGGACCGGGTGCTGGAAGTGGGCCTCAGGCTTCCTGATCTCTCTGAGTAGGGGAAACAAAGGGAACCACGACTCGGGTCATGGGCTTTGTGCAAGAGGGAAGGAAGGCTAATAAATTAGCAAAGCGCTCCTGCTGGCTAATCTGCAAGTGCAGAAACATCAGGTGAGATTCCCCACACTAGCATGCACAGATGGAGTGTGATTTCACAGTACAAAATGTCACTGAGAAAATGAAAACTCCCTAAAAACACTACTTTCAATAGGGTGGTGTCTAAATCAATGAAATGAATAAGAACTACTGACAGAGGGATTGTTCGTATTCATCCGTTTTTGCTGTGAGATATCAAGAAAAATGAAATGATATACTTAAATACTCAACCTTAATACTTATGTTCTGCAAATACTCAACAGAATGTCAGTAAGAATTTTAAAAAGCTATTTTTGGAGGGGGGAGAAAAGAGGACTCGCGCTGCATTTTCCATTTTAAAATGGCTTAAAAAGTAGAACAGACAAGCTTCTGTTGGCTTTTTTTTTTCCCTTCATACTTCAAGTCAAACGCATTATCACTGGGCAGAGCTTGTGAAAGGGATATGGTCTTTAAAATCACATAAACTCTAGCCATCATAAAACGTCTGCTGAATTGATTGGAAGATGAAACAAAAAACTAATGGAAGTAACATGACCTCATTTCAATAATTCTGTGAGAGGTTTTGTTTTCATCATTTTAAAAACCTTGTGTCTGAGAAGAAGTATAAAGATATTTTGTATAAAGCAACTGATCTTATTTTTCCAATTTTTTTTGTTTAGTTGTTTACTCTGATGCATTTTTGGTACCTAATTGTTTGTAATCTTCAAATACAGAGAAAAAAAATCCAAGGGTTTTACCAGCTCCTAACTGAAAGCAAGTACCAATTATGTTAAAACACCAGAAATCTAACTACTGATTTTGAAGAATCTGGAACTATTTCTAACTCTCCTCATTGGCTCTCAGTGAACAGAGACACAGGAATTTACAGCACGGACTGGCAAACACCTGCACCTGGGGTTCAGCTTAGGTAATAACAGTAGTGTGAAGGCAAAATGCTCTCTAAGAATACAAGCGAGTGAAACTTTGCTGGGAGAAATTGTACTTTTCTATCAGACCAACCAACACACTTGGAAAAGCAGGCAGAGGCACGAAGAAGCAGTGGAGTCAAACAAAGCTCCTAACAACCTGAACTTAACCAGGGTAACCACTCACAAGTGTTGCAGGTTTAGGGTTTCATTTTAAACTGTTGAGCTTTATAACAGTTGATCACATTCTCTTTTCTTTTCTTTTGTATTTTAAACTTGAATACATTTTCTTATGCACGTTCAGCTCTGACAACGAGTTTTCTGATTCGTTTGAAGGTTAAATGAAACAAGAACATTACTGAAGTTTTTGTGTCCTTTGCTGACTCTGCTTTTTAAAGTGATACTGTTTTTCAACGGATTTACATTCTAAAATCTCTTTCAAGCGAGCACTATGCTTACAAAACAGGAGATAAATAGGAAAGTCCTCAGTCTCACTTGTTCCAAACGGATTTAGCTTTCCTTTTTGTCAGTTTTCTGTATCAAGGGTAAAAAACTGGGGGGCTTTGTTTGGTGCACTGTTGTTTTAATTACTCAGAGGCATATTCTTAATTAGGCAAACCACAACTTGTACAACCTCTATCAGGACAGTGAAAATTGTCAAAGGCGACTATTGTATAGTTGCCATTGAAACAATTCAGAAAAACATAATCATTAAAAAATAAGGGAGGGGAGAGGGAGATAAAGGAAAAGAATACCTCTTCATTAAAGGTAGATGCATTCCATCCACCTGGCCTTTGATTTAATGGATATCATGGAACCTGAATGCACCCCAAGTAAAAGCACAGAGAGAGACAGAGACAGACAGAGAACGCGCAAGGCTTGCCTGGCAGAGCATCCAGTGTTTGTCTTGGGTTCTTACTTGTATCAGAATACTGAAAAGTTTGCAAGTTACCATGTGATTTTTTAAAAACCTTTTCCTCCTTTGAGTATGCTAAAGCAGTAAATATCCCCTTCAGATGCCACTAGCACAGATAGTCTATATTGCTGCTACTATGGTTTAAAAGCAAGTTCTTCCTAAAATTCTGTGTAAGTATATGCATGCAGCACTGCTGATTTCAATGAAATAGACCACATATAAGACTAGAATTTGGCCCACAGGGTTTAACATTTAAAAAAATGTATTACTAACAAACATGACTAAGTATATTTAAAGAGCAGCTTCGTGATTCTGCACAAGTGTTTTCTGAAACGGTCTAAAAGAAGGTCTAAAACTTACCACACAAGTCAGGTCTCTTGATACATCCACTAGTTGCTGTGCTACTTGCAAGTCCATTAAAGGCTGCTAAGCCATCAGAGCTGTAAGCTCTTAGGACTGACAACATGTTCATCTGCTTCTCCAGGACCTGCGGACCCTGAACTTGTTCGGGTTTCATCACTCCTTGTGCAGTTTCATGGGAGGACAGAAGATTCTGACTGTGCCACTGCTTTTCTGATGCTTGTGGCAGTGGCGATACGAGCCCTTGTGCTGGTTGTGAGGTGACTGCACTTTGTATGTTGTCGCCTCCTTCACTGCTTTCCTTGTTTAGGGCAGACAACTGCTTATTCATAATATCTGGTTCTGTTTCAATGTCCTCATCTTCAATGTTTTCCTCCTTGGAAGATTCCATATCCTCAGATGAAGCTATGTCAGAAAGGTCATCAGTAGCACTTTTATTTACAGAGTCAGAGAGCAGAATATTTGGGTCATCTTCAGACTGTGGTTTTATTTCAGATTCATTACTGGTGCAAGAATTTTGTGTTCCTGTGCCAATAACACCAGGATAAACACCAAACTGCTTATAGAAGTCTGTTGTAAAATTACAAAAAGTGGATTCCATGTGGCTGGGCCAGGCAGCACTCTTTTGCTCTCCCATGGTCTCTTTATTTTGTCCTTGGGTCATTTTCTCAGAAGCTGAGTCCAGCTGGCTAAGCATGTTTGAAACTACGGCCTCTTTGCTGGACTGCACAGAAGCAGAGAGCAAGCTCACTTTGTTGACTGAGGCTGAAGCTTCTCTAGATTGCTCTTTGTTGTTCCCTATGATGTTGTCCTTACGTTTAGCCTTGCCCAAGTGATTGGCCTGGAGGTGCAGAGCCATTAGTTCCATAGATGAAGTGGTAAAGGAGCAAAATAAGCAGCCGTGCCATGCAATATTGTCTTGCACAGTAACAGATGAACCTGGAAGGGAGGCTGCATCTGGCCTTACAGATAAGTCAAGAGGTTCATATTGCGACTTCTCAGTTTTTCTCTGGGAGGACTTGCTGTTGATCTTTTCCTCACCTCCTTCTGCGCCCAGAGCTTTTGCTGAAAGTGGATCTGATAGAGCTTTATCCTTCATTTCTTTTTCTTTCTTCAAAGAACTTAGGACAAAGCTGTCCATGAACGCTTGCAAAGACCCTTGGAAGTTCACGCCGTTCCCAACCATATTCTGGTAAGCACGGCCAAGTTCAGAGAAGTGTGTTCCTTTGGAAGATAAGTCAGAACCCTTCATGTTTTCTGAAGATACTTCAGATGACATGCCAGCTGCTTGTCCTTGCTGATCTCCAGAAGACAGCATTCCTGACGCCCACTGTTGTGAGACCATGCCACTTCGGAAATCAATAGCAGGAAGCCCCTTGAAGGCTCCCCTCAGTATATCTGGTCTAATAAACACAGAACTTTTACTTGATGTCTCTTCTTTGTGTTCTTGGCTTGTAGCCTGCCCCGACAGTGGTCCCGCTCCATTTTGTCTCTCCCGATGGTGCCTCTCCAAGTGGTACTTGAGGGACGCAGACTGAGTACCGGCGTAATCACAATGCGGACACTTGTAAGGCTTCTCACCTATGTGTATGCATAAAAAGACAAGTACAAAGGAGGAGAGTTAACTGCACTTTGGTGCATGGATGAGTAAAGAAAAAGAAAATCATTATTAGCTTCCTGAAAACAAGATCTTACAGCTAATAATTCGTTTTTAAAAAAGAAACGCCTTTAATTGAAGAGTAATTCAAAAACTGAATATTTCTAAAGCAGATTTCCAGAATGTGGGGCTATTCTGGAATGACATGGTAACTACACACAATTAGCCATCTTCTTCTTAATCTAACATGTAAAAAACTGTTGTAGAATTAAAAGCTATGATTATGAAAATGAAGCATAACAATTTCAACCACAGTAATCATTAAAAGTACAAAATTTTTTTTTTTTTAAAAAGAGACGAAGAATGTAACAAATGGATGGTTGCAATATTTTGTGTATACAATTGCTCTAAAATTTGTTTAAATTATACACATGGAAACCATTTTTAAACCTAAAAATTTTATGGCACTGTTACGCAAGACTGAAATGAATGATTTAAGTCTTGCTCTGCAGTAAATCATGGATATAATTAGCAAATGGCATACTGCACAAGTAATTTATCATTATTTGGAGGGCACCATTCCAGAAGGATTCAAAGATCTGCAGACCTACTGCATTGTTTCTAAATAAAGAACTATAAATACGGATTCTATAAAATATTAATATCATCATACCACATTATGATTGCAGCATGTAAGAACATATAGTTAAAATAAAAAGCACTCAAAATAAAAAAAAAAGCAAAAAAGAAATAAAATACAAAATAAATTCAGTGCTAATTTCAAATATAGAAACTATCTACTGGTTTTTGCAGTCCTTTAAATTTGTACTAAAGGTACTTCTAATGCTCAAGTAGTAAAATGTGTAATTTAACTATCATAACTGCTTTTCTAAGATTACTTTAAATAGAGATTTAAAACATATAAGATGATTTTCAATGAATTAAATAATGTTTGAGTCCCATATAAACTTTTATTGTTTTTCCTATACTTTTAAAGAGGTAGAAGATATTACACACACAATAAATATTCACATACAGACATAAATACATATCCAAAAAGAATGCATGCCTAAGCAAACGTACATCCAAACTTGTACGGAGCACTTGTGAGCAATGCAGAGATCCTTTAAAAGGAAGTTTGGAGATACTGGAAGAGACAGGAATGTGAAAGACCTGCAAGCTGCCGATACTGACAATTATTTCTACCAGGGAGTTGAACAAGAAGAAGAAACAGTTCTTTCTACGTAGCTTTTTCTCCAAAAGACAATGACCAACCTCTCCTGAATGCTGGTGGAAAAACATGCTTCAAAAGCTTTCTACACAGTGGGGAAAAAAAAAAAAAAGAAAAAGAAAGAAAAAAGGCTGTATGATATTCTGCAGTTTACCAAACCAGCTGGAAAGTCACCCATTTTCAAATAACCTCAAAATCTGCTTAAAACAAAATTGAAAGGCTTTCCAACTTTCTTTGTGTAAGCTGCAGGCTCAGCTGAAAGGCTGTTGGATACTTGGGAAGCTGCTCCTTGCACTGATCACAGGAACTTCCTAATGAGATGCACCACAAAACCCTCAAACTAGCCATACAGTGGCTGGTTACGTGCTGTAACTCAGACAGGGCTCAAGTGAATTACAAGGAGCAGAAATCCTAAATCCATATGTAATCCCAAAGCTAAACGGTGAGACATGAGAGCTTTACATCAACCACGTTAATCGACCTGTTTCGAGGAGGAAAGTGCAGCACCTCGAACAGGAGGTGTTCAGCTGAGGCAGAGGTAGGAATTAGCAGGGTTAGGCCTGGGTCCACACAGCTTAACGGAGGAAATCAGAATTAAACATTTCAGTGCAACTTCTGAGTTTTTCGCTATCACCTTATTCAGCTCTACTGCTCCACCAAGAAGATGCATGGCTGTGTTCAGTGGGAGCCACGCAGAGACAAACTCCTGATGGGCAGGAACCACTGACCTGAGACGCATCACGTCTGCTTGGGCTTCTCTCTGCTCAGGTGAGTGTGCACACAAACTCACAGCCCCGCCACTGGGACAAATAGACTAGGCTGTCTATTTGTTTGCGTTCCTGCAGGACTGTTCGGGAGCGTGTAAACCTTGACAGCTGTGCTGCCAGTCAGAATGTGGACAAATATTAATGCTGTTTTTACAGCATGCACATACTGCGATGTTTCTGAGCTGCTTGTTTGTCCCACCCAGTTACTGCTGATTACACAACAGCCACCAGTGACCTCTGACACAGCCTAGGCACTTCGAGTACCATCTGAGAAGCAGTCAGACTGGTGAAAAACAAACAGAGGAATTTATAAGGTTAAATGCTCTCATATTTGAGTTTTCACTCCTCTTAACTGAAAAGCTCTTCCACAGCATCCCCTATGCGGAAATCTGTAACACAACTGTATTAATCACTTGCTTTTATTCTAACGATAGCTCGGTGTGTGTTGGCATTGCACATCAAGTGACACCATTAATAAGTGTGTCCCAGTATTGCAGGTGCTACGTCAACTGCTGGATAACATGCATCTACAGCACAGAGGATTTCATAATATAAGCTGCTCTAATCACTCAATCACAGAATCGTAGGGGTTGGAAGGGACCTCTGGAGATCGTCTACTCCAACCTGCTAATGCTGCTAAAACATGCAGAAGCTGTTCAAGGCAATAGGTGCATTTAAAAATGAGTTTCAGTGAGTTAATCTAAGCTAACTAGAAGAGACACTATGGTTCTTTTGCATATGTGAAGTAACCCCAATCTGAAGTACTGGGCACAGCAATGTATTCTTATTTTGCTCGCAGAGCCCTGAAGTTATTACACATTCCTTTAGAAGCCTCTCCACTGAGCGAGCTTCCTTTCAGCAGAGGAGACCTGGGCACAGCTCGCCCACATGCCACACGCACAAGACTGAAATAAGCCACTGACGGAGGGAGATTGATAAAAAGTGCAAGCATCTCTTCACCTTGCTTCACTGTCTCTGTGGTGCTCCCACCTCTTGCATGGCTAGAAATAAATTCTAACACTGAAGGGCTGCAATTGGACTCAACATGTAGCGACACACTGTGCCACCTTTACACTGCAGCACTGGCCAAATAACATCATTCAAAGGGAAGTACTCCAAACCTTTTTTTTTTCCTCTTTTAGATCAAAATGTTGGCAGTGATTAGTGTACTTCAAAGCAATCTTAACTGTTGCTATTTCAAGGGCAGGCACTGGCAGAAGGGAGAAGGACTGAGTAAATCATCTGTTGATCTTTGAAATTTACAGATTCACCATTTCCTAAATAGAGGAATTGTGAAGAGTACTTTGCACTATTTCATCCATTCAGAATAACACCCAACAATGCTCATGTAAGTCACCACACAAACAACAAAACAGAGCTATAAACTGCAATGGAAAAATGAACAACCTAATTTAAACCAAACAAACCAAAAAACAATCTGGTTTTAATGGAAAACCCAAAGGACTCCTAATTTCCAATCAACAGTTGTAATTGTGTATGTCTGAAGAATAGTAAAGGGGATAAGTCAGCTAAGGCACAATTCTCACCAGAAGACAACCTGTTCGTATCTTGCACTTGGGGAAAGCATTTCAGAGAACTCGTCCTATATAACGACTACCCGGGTAATACTGCCAAGAGCAGTGTCTGGATGAGTTATTTAACACTTAATATCAGTTCACATAAATTAAGGTTGTCATGTAAGAGTGAGGGAACTTGACTTTTTCCAAAAATGGTTTTTTGCATTTCATATCCAACAGTCATTTTTCACTGTTCGCAAAGGCAACGATCATTCTAATCTTGCTAATTTTCTGGACGTGTTTGCATCCCTGCAAACCCTTTCACAGTAGAGTAGAAAGCGTGAATATCCCAATGCGTACAATAAAAAAAGAAAGCATCTTGTTGAGAGTAACTTATCTAGGCAACATAATCACAGTTCTGATCTATCTACCACTCTGATTTTACAAGACACAAGGCATCTCACAAGAACTATTTCATATCAGGAAACAATAAAACAATAAAATTCAACGCTGCTTGTAAAATCTGCACAAAATCTTGGTAGATAACTGGAAACAGACATGCTACCCAGTAGCACGAGGTCTTTCAATATAGCAGGTTGCATAAACAAAGCAGTGCTCGATCTACTACCAATCCTGCTCAAAATGCAGTCCAATAACACCAGTCATAGGAATCACCTGTGCAAGGAGACCATAGTCCAATTACAAATACATTTACAGATTTTATGTCTAGAAGGGACAATATCCTGTCTTATTCGCTGTACCAAACAGGCCAAAGACCCTCACATGATAATTCCTGCATCAAAACCACAACTGCAATTTGACACCAACCATACTTTCTTATTTTAAACATATTTTATTCACAGCAATCAACACGTTCAACATGTCCTTATGTAAACTGTTTGACTGGTTAATTATTTTCACTGTTGCCTTATTTCCAGTTTTTATTTATCTCAAGTCTGTTTCCTATACCGAACCTCACAGCATCTTTTCCCTGCGACAATAAATGATTTGGTTTTTTTGAATCAAAGATCTGTTCCCTGAGAAAGGTACTCGCCCTCATCTCACCAACTTCTCTTGCTCCTGAGTGGAATACCCTTACCAATTATCAAATGTCCTTTTCAATTATAGGTACCCACTAAAGCTTTGATGAAGTTTCAACCAGATATTATTCTTATACAAACACTGTTTACATCCATAGCTGTAGCAATCAGCTAACAGCTCACATTCTGTTGCTTCTCTACCATAATCCCAGACCCAGATCATCAACAGCTCTAGTATTTGTTCCTCTACATTTTGCTGTTTTAAAATTCATATCGTTGAGAAGAACCCACTCGACTAAGCAACCCATCAGTCCCTCCCCGTGATTTTTAGCATTTTACCATTTTCGTGCCATTGGCAAATTTTATCAACAGTGATTTTATACGCTTTTCCAAATTATGATGAAATGCCAAACTGACTGAGCTGAGAGC